CATTCTAATCAAACATCATCAAACTGACCTGCACCATTGGCCAGACAAGGTTTTGGTTTACATTCCAGTGTGGCTGTTATGTCAATCAAATTGAAAAAATTGCTAAAAACCAGCCGTGTGGCTTATACTAGGACGCGGTTTATAGCCCAGTATATAATGTTGTACTTTATTGAATATCTAAAGCTACAGTCACCAACAACAAAAATTTTATTTTAAAATTAAAACATCACTCTGTAAATAAACATTCCTACTTAGAAATGGGCACAGTGTCGTATACTAGTCAAGCAGGTAAGTCAGGTCAACAGAATGTTTGTAAACATTTCCTGTACAACAAACTTTCTGCTTCATTTACAGAGTAAGCCTGTTGGCTATTATATCCCGTCAGAGATGGTGATCACAACGAAATATATACATCATATACATGTAGCATGAAGGACATTCTACCACAGGTCAGTTCAGGTCGCAGGTCTAGATCTTCGTGCCATAGGTCAGATGATGTAGTGAATTTGTGTGCCATAGGTATTCTTGTCATAGGTCAACTGAGGTCATACAGCTTGTCATAGGTCAACTGAGGTCATACAGCTTGTCATAGGTCAACTGAGGTCGTACAGCTTGTCATAGGTCAATTGAGGTCATACAGCTTGTCATAGGTCAATTGAGGTCATACAGCTTGTCATAGGTCAATTGAGGTCATACAGCTTGTCATTGGTCAATTGAGGTCATACAGCTTGTCATAGGCCAATTGAGGTCATACAGCTTGTCATAGGTCAATTTAGGTCATACAGCTGGTCATAGGTTAATTAAAGTCATAAGTTTTCTTGACATAGGACAGTTGAGGTCATAGGTCTTCTTTTCATTGGTCAAGTGAGGTCATAGACTAAAAAGTAAAAAAATTAACTTACATATGATAGATAGGATTATAATCTTTGAGATATAAGATTTTGAATGGAAGCATTACACTTTTAGGATAATTTAGTTTTCTTTACAAGTGATTATGATATTTTCAGTATACAACCCAAGTTGTCCTCCAAAGTGAATTTTTATCAGAATAGCAAGTGAACTTTTTATTGCAAAAATTAAGTTTTATCTATATATCTAAATAGTAAAATGAATTTTTATCTAGATGGTGACATAAACTTATCATTTTGATAAAACCAAAAGATGACATATCTGACAACAGTATCAGATTCAATACCTCTAATCATCACTACTGCCATGTTGTTCTGAGAGTATCACTCTGTCATATTTTCATTAACTCATACATATGGAAATCAAACAATATGACTTATTTACTTCAAAAGCTTAAAGCTTGAATGTAGATGAAAATATCACAAAGCAGACCATATTGACACCAATGATATAGAAAAGCATGTTATCTTCAATATTTGCAAACCACTCTTATCAAATGATAAAATGGACCTCTTACAGATATGGCCATGAACACTGAGACAAATCATGCCTGCATTCTTTGATAATCTGATTTTTCAAATTTACCATCAGATTTTTCTTGTCTTATAATTAAGATTTATTTCCATAAAAAGCTAAGTTACAAAGACTCCTTTATATAATATGTTATACTTGTGTAACAGGAAAGAGAATAGTGTCATTCTACCAGAGATTGAAGCAGCAACCTCTAAGCTCCAGTCGCTCAAATGTTAGACTGAATTAACCAGTACTTTGCTAAAAATTCTAAACAAACAACAGTGTTACATGTAAACGTAACAACCAAAATATATCAGTCTGACCTGTTATAAAGATTGTCCATGATTTTTTTTTTATTTCTGTTTAAAAACTGGTTGTCCCAAACCAGCCTTCGAACAATTGTGGCCTGGTCTCTAGTCATATGCTCTAAAACTGAGCTAAAGGGAATTCCTTACAGCAGGAAGCTAGAGGTTGACCGAGATCCTATGTACAATTAAAATCTGCCACACTTGTTTCTGGCGGGGAATTTCTGTACTTCTGGTACTAACAGTCAGGAAGTTACTTATTTCTGTTACCCGTTTGTTCATTAAGTTCCGTCTTTACTTATTACAGAACACGACCTGTCAGAATGACTTTCCTTTTCAAGGAAATGAAAATCGTGCTGTTTACTGACCCGTAACACGTCTATATACGTGGAATAGTTGGTAATCACTAGAGTGTACAACAATCACGTGCAGTAACATTCAATTCATAGATAGCATCTCATTCCTTCTATATAAAGGAATTTGCAGACCTGGCCATTTGAAATAACTAACATAAGATAGAAGGTTTGGTTTATAAATATAACTGAATGACGATCATCGTAAATGTTTTCCTTTGTATGAGCTCTTTTGTGTCTGGCTGTCAGACCTGTTCTCCAAGTTATACATGTATTCAAACTAGGTGAAGGTTGTTCTGTGTTGTCCTCTTTCAACACAAACTTGGCATTAAATGTCTCTACACTTATCCTGACCGTGACATCACTTCAGTATTAGGTTATATACCTGCTAAATGCTTCATAGGAGAGGAATTATTGAGTGACAAAAACATCTGAACTAATCATTATATCACAAAAAGAAAAAGTATCGTCAAGGTTAGTGGTGCACCATTTTATCAATAGGCCAGTTCTTTTCAAAGCAATATATATCTACTGTAGCTATATAGGTAGAACATAGCTATCTCTGCTGAAATCTGTCATTAATAAGGCAAAAATTGTACTGTAATCTGCTAGTACATACAACTGACCCTTGGAAGTATGTTTTGACCCTCAAAAATGGTTAGTTGGTTTTGTCTGCTTGACTCGTCCTATTTCTAGGTGTTGTCTCACTGAAGAATGTCGGTGTTCTGTCAACATGACCCCTTATGACCTGGACCAATATTTGCATCAAGTTTTGCGATACATGAATATCTTCCATATTCCACAGTCATATCTGTGGACAAAATTTACATCCAACTTAATAAGCTGTTTGTATATGTATGCATTCTTTTATCATACTGTACAAATATACAGCACCTGGACTTGCCTGAGGTGCACTTTCTGTGACAGAAAGTCATCAATTCTCTAACTAGGTACGCCAGAAAACAAGATCTGAGATGGTTAGTACCCCCTTAAGATAAACATGGACACCATTGATACATTGTCAATGTCTTCTCCATAAACATGTCATCTACAGTACACATCTAATTCAATTACCACCTTTCTGGGACAAGATATTCACTTCTGAGTAAGCTACAAACTAGCTGGTCACAGTTATCAGACATGTGCAGTGTTAATCTTAGTTATGTTGTACCTATATCTTACATCACCAGAGTTTGTTTCTATTCGTTTTGGATTTTATCTAATTTCTGGGGATAAATTAATCATTTGGAGAGGAAATTTTAGGGAGTATCCGGCCCATATTTGGGGTGCACAAAGCCCCTAGAAAAAGCCCAGATTACTTTACAGCAAAACTGTTAGCAAACAACACTGTATATATTCCACTTCCCAATGACAACAACAGAATCCTGAATTCATGATGGTTGGGAATAGTTCTCAAAATCTATATATATATTTAATTGTAAATCATTCAGCCAGGATTTATCTTTAAACTGTTCTATTTATTTTTATTCGTATTTGTTTTCCAAGGTCTAGAAGTTGCCTGTGGACCAAAAATTCAGTTTGATAACTGGTTAACCTACTTTTTTCACACTTTTCATTATATGATGACATGATAGCTGATAATGAATAAATGTGATATAAAAATTGTTATAGTGTACTAGGTCGCTCAGAAATGATGAAATCTGGTGTGAAAATATGATGTACCAGAGAACAAACAACTTGATTGTTGTGTTCCCGTATCATAGTAAATATAAAAAAGTAAAAACTTTCTTTGTCAAAAACTTCTATTTCAAAATCTAAAAACAAAATTTAAACTTATAATTGTCAAATGGTGTTACGATATCATTATGTCAATGCCTAGGCTAGATTTAGAAATATTCCTCTTTTTCATTTGATCAAACTGTTATCCTGGCTACAAACTAAGCTGTACTTTGTTACGTCCATCGTTTTAAAACTGAATATCTCGATCCAGGAAAGGCTTGTTGAATGACTACCCAGCATGTGAGGTTTAAATTTGAGCAGAAACATGCTGAGAGAATTAAAGGCAGTTTCTGAGAAAGTCCCGTACCAATAGAGTTACTGAAATGTCAGACATTTAAACAGAGTGTAGTAATGGGTGTAGCTGTTTAAACCAGCTATACATCACCTGTATACCTGAGGGGCTATAGTGTCTACTGGTAAACATAAGTGGTCTTTGTTTTCAGATTAGAATACACAGACGATAACCAGACCAAGATATAATAATCACAGGTAGTTTCTCTAGCTGATCACATGTTCACACCTTTTTCGTACAAGAGTTGGATGATAGCACTAAATTATCAATATCTCCTCGGGCTGTCATTGTCAACACACCTGTATATATCATACAGGTAAATCAATCAGTCTCCGATATACCTGTGTTAACCAGAAGATATACACTGTACGACACAGATAGAATAAAGACTCAGAATGTTTTTTGAGGTGGGGAGGGGAGAGGGGTAGGGTCCATTGATTGGTCCATGGAGTGGTAGGGGTGAATATTGTCATTCAAAAAATTACTAAACTGGGAAGGAGTATGCTCAAGTGCACAAAACTGCCTAGCTATATATATAATATATGTATAGATATGTACTTGTCCAACAAGTTGACACAAAAGCGTTTGATACAAATTAACTGGTTATGTCCCTTTTTAAAAAGCAATTAGAAAAAATACAATCTCCGTACAAAATGTAATCAAGTACTTGCGAATTATCAAAGCTGTACATAAAGTGACAAGAAATGGTTTCACACCTGAGACAACAGATACACACCTGGACTGAAAAAAGATAACATTTCACACTGAAGACAACATGTGGTATCGATTAATGCTGCTGATTTGTTATAAACAACATTTTACACCTGTACGGCACCATCTGACGTATACACAGGTGTGGTTCCGGTGTACACCTAATCAATATCTTACCTATGTTCACAAGACGCACGTTATCATTGGCAATAGCTGTCAGAGCTAGGGTACAATTCTCTAGATTCTGATGGTGGTTCAGAGGCTTTTTAATCACCCGTCCAATTTTCTTTCCCTGTAGAGATTCAATGAGTGCACAGAGTAAAACTCCATCCTCAAAAGCGGTCTGGAGATCTTCCACAAATTTCGTGTTTCCTCCGATTCTCAACTGTTCGTTTACCCAGTTAGTAAACGTGTTTTTCTGAATAAGAATCCATCTGTCAGTCTCTCCCCTCATGCTCATGGCAGCATGTCCCTCCCGAGATAACGCCCTGTTCACGTGCGACATTTTACCTGAAATTATTTCGTGTTATGTCCACGGTATACACACAAACACTGGGGTCAAATTTCAAGTCGGGCCGGTTGAGATGAAAGCAGCCCTGCAACTCGCCCTATCGATTTGACAAGCAGGTGTTTGCCTTGGGCTGCTAATTAACAAATGTCCTGAGTAGGTTCTTCCCGTGGCTGGACCGCGGACTTTTTTCTATCAATGTTACTGCACCTTCACCAACCTGGAAAAACTTTGTACTTGTATATGGGTGTGAGCGGTGCCTTCTTCATTGACGTTGAGTGGTCCGTCTGTGTATTCATATTTAAATTAGTTCACAAACACAAACCGGTTTACCTACATAGTCAGTCAACCGATACACAAGCGACTTCCCCAGATTTATTTTTAGACATTATATTCCGTTCGCCCTCTGGCGGACAGGTAATCTCATTTGAAACAATATGAGATTCTTAGTTACAGTATATATGAGATAAATATAACATCCCGATGTTTATTAACATGGTGATCGTTTTATAGATAGATTGATATAAGATGAATTGATTGGTGCTAGCACCCAAAACACCTGTTATTAAGTATGATTCTAGGATTTTAGTCAATTTATACTTTTGTTAATAACAAATCGGTATCTATCGAAGCACGATGAAATCGACATGATTTAACAACAAGTGACCTGTAGCACCGCTCCTCAAAAACATCCTTGGGTCACTCCTAGTCATCCTCTGACAGATCCGATCAAACGGACTCATTTTAAGTGAAAATCACATCGATCTCGTTGTGTTTTGACAAATACATTATTATTATCATTATTGTTATTATTATTGTTACTTTTCTCGTCAAAAGAAAGTACACTTGTAACAAGATATCTATATTTTGCCAATTTAAAAGAAAAAAGTGTTTCTCTGTTTTCTCCATGTAAATAACAATCAAAGAAATAATAGATAGCATTTTCAACTGGATATGAAAAACTACTCGCAGCTGAATGAACTAAATAATTTTTTTTTAAATCTGATTTAAGTGCACTATATCCGTGTCTGAGTTTAGTATGAATAATGCCTAATGCCCTATTACATAATACATGACAACGCGGAGCCCTGTCTACATTCCTTGTAATCCTACTTTTACATATATTCAGAAACTAGAAATTCCCACCTGATATATCTAGCGAATTCCACATTTCAATCGTGTCCGGAATAAAACACTTTTCGTATGACACTACACGATGGCGAGATATAACATAATCGCGGTTCGTATGACACTACACGATAGCGAGGTGTAACATAATCGTGGTTCGTATGACACTACACGATAGCGAGGTATAACATAATCGTGGTTCGTATGACACTACACGATGGCGAGATATAACATAATCGTGGTTCGTATGACACTACACGATAGCGAGGTGTAACATAATCGTGGTTCGTATGACACTACACGATAGCGAGGTGTAACATAATCGTGGTTCGTATGACACTACACGATAGCGAGGTGTAACATAATCGTGGTTCGTATGACACTACACGATAGCGAGGTGTAACATAATCGTGGTTCGTATGACACTACACGATAGCGAGGTATAACATAATCGTGGTTCGTATGACACTACACGATAGCGAGGTATAACATAATCGTGGTTCGTATGACACTACACGATAGCGAGGTATAACATAATCGTGGTTCGTATGACACTACACGATGTCGCGGTTTAACATAAAAATCAAATGGACAAGTTGAGCTAAATTTGCTTTTTTTAAACAGATTTATCGGTGTCCCGATAATGACTAAGGGGCAGTTTATAAGTAAATTTCCACAAGATCTTTTTTAACAGTTCAAAAGTTATCAAACAAGACAAAATGTACGTGGGAAGGTTTACAGTTATTCGACCTTTGACCTTGGAGGCCAGTGTCACAGTGATTTTATGACTAAGTATTACACCTAATCAGTAAGTGATGAAGATATACAACAACTATTATTAAGGTATCTGTGACGTTTTAAAAATATCTACTACAGGAAATAAGCGGGGAAATGCACTTACTCTGCACAGTGAAAGTGATCGTAACCCCTGCAGTATCAAGGATGACTTGAAGGAAGCGCCTTGCATTGTATATGTACATTCCAACTTTCATCAAGATTTCTTTTTAATCGCCTGGACAAATATTTATTGGGAAAAATCAAATTCTTTTGACATTGAAATCAAGGTCACAGTTACCTAACAAAAGTTTAGTGCACTTTAAGATTAGATAAATAAACGTGTACGAACTCCTAATATATAAAACTGATACATGGATGTTTATACACTAGTGTCGATGACGCCTGAGGGGAGACAACTCTCATAGATTGTACTGCAAATAGATATGATTTCGAATTAAAGTGCATGTGGCGTTTATTGCAGGCGTTTGCATGCATTTCATTGGTTTATTCTGAGACAGCGAACAGCACTTAAAGAAGTAAGAATGGCGTTATTGTGTACACATGCAATATTGAAGCTAACTCTCCGTTAACAGGGACAGTACAACCCATATGTAAACTGGTGATAGATTACACGCGTGTCTGTGTGTAAGGGTGTGGACATCGACACACTGAACAGAAAACTGGACAGGCGTTAGTGATCAGCTGTTAGAAATGAAGATTGTTGTTCTCGGTGCGACAGGTCCTACAGGACTCCAGCTTGTACAGGAGGCGTTAGAGAGGGGACATGAAGTTACAGCACTTGTGAGGAATCCAGAAAAACTAGGACAAATTGATGACCTTAAATTGACGGTTTGATTTACTCGCATTAACTATAGCACGTAGCAATGTTTTATATACTATTAAGCGCTGTATGGTTATACCCAAGTACAGAATCCTATAGAGTGAATGTATGGTAAACTACACTAAAGACTGAATCACTGTATGGTGTTATTACATAATACTACACAAGAGATTTACTGTATGATACCCTACACTAAAGATTCACTGTATGGTACCCTACACTAAAGATTCACTGTATGGTACCCTACAGATTCACTGTATGGTACCCTACAGATTCACTGTATGGTACCCTACACTACAGATTCACTGTATGGTACCCTACACTACAGATTCACTGTATGGTACCCTACACTACAGATTTACTGTATGATACCCTACAGTACAGATTTACTGTATGGTACCCTACAATAAAGATTCACTGTATGGTACACTACAGATTCACTGTATGGTACCCTACACTACAGATTCACTGTATTATACCCTACACTACAGATTCACTGTATGATACCCTACAGTACAGATTCACTGTATGGTACCCTACACTACAGATTCACTGTATGGTACCCTTCAATACAGATTCACTGTATGGTTCCCTACAGATTCACTGTATGGTACCCTACACTACAGATTCACTGTATGATACCCTACAGTACAGATTCACTGTATGGTACCCTACACTATAGATTCACTGTATGGTACCCTTCAATACAGATTCACTGTATGGTACCATACAGATTCACTGTATGGTACCCTACACTACAGATTCACTGCATGGTGCCCTACACTACAGATTCACTGTATGGTTCCCTACACTACAGATTCACTGTATGGTACCCTACACTACAGATTCACTGTATGGTACCCTACACTACAGATTCACTGTATGGTAAACTACAGATTCACTGTATGGTACCCTACACTACAGATTCACTGTATGGTACCCTACACTACAGATTCACTGTATGGTACCCTACACTACAGATTCACTGTATGGTACCCTACCCTACAGATTCACTGTATGGTACCCTACCCTACAGATTTATTGTGTGGTACCCTACATTACAGATTCACTGTATGGTACCCTACAGATTCACTGTATGGTACCCTACACTACAGATTCACTGTATGGTACCCTACACTACAGATTCACTGTATGGTAAACTACAGATTCACTGTATGGTACCCTACACTACAGATTCACTTTATGGTACCCTACACTACAGATTCACTGTATGGTACACTACAGATTCACTGTATGGTCCCCTACACTACAGATTCACTGTATGGTACCCTACACTACAGATTCACTGTATGGTACCCTACCCTACAGATTCACTGTATGGTACCCTACCCTACAGATTTATTGTGTGGTACCCTACATTACAGATTCACTGTATGGTACCCTACAGATTCACTGTATGGTACCCTACACTACAGATTCACTGTATGGTACCCTACACTACAGATTCACTGTATGGTACCCTACACTACAGATTCACTGCATGGTACCCTACACTACAGATTCACTGTGTGGTACCCTACATTACAGATTCACTGTATGGTACCCTACACTACAGATTCACTGTGTGGTACCCTACACTACAGATTCACTGTATGGTACCCTACACTACAGATTCACTGTATGGTACCCTACACTACAGATTCACTGTATGATACCCTACACTAAAGATCCACTGTATGGTACCATACACTACAGATTCATTGTATGGTACCCTACACTACAGATTCACTGTATGGTACCCTACACTACAGATTCACTGTATGGTACCATACACTACAGATTCACTGTGTGGTACCCTACACTACAGATTCACTGTATGGTACCCTACACTACAGATTCACTGTATGGTAACCTACAGATTCACTGTATGGTACACTACAGATTCACTGTATGGTACCCTACACTACATATTCACTGTATGGTACCCTACATTACAGATTCACTGTATGGTACCCTACACTACAGATTCAATGTATAGTACCCTACACTACAGATTCACTGTATGGTACCATACACTACAGATTCACTGTATGGTACCCTACACTACAGATTCACTGTATGGTACCCTACACTACAGATTCACTGTATTATACACTACACTACAGATTCACTGTATGGTACCCTACACTACAGATTCACTGTAGTATGGTACCCTACACTACAGATTCACTGTATGGTACCCTACACTACAGATTCACTGTATGGTACCCTACACTACAGATTCACTGTATGGTACACTACACTACAGATTCACTGTATGGTACCCTACACTACAGATTCACTGTATGGTACCCTACACTACATATTCACTGTATGGTACCCTACACTACAGATTCACTGTATGGTACCCTACACCACAGATTCACTGCATGGTACATTTGATAAGAGAATTAATATATGATATACAATGTACTGGAGTATCACTGTATGAATAATACATTACAGAATGACTGTATGCTACACTGCATTATAGAAACACTGTATGTTATTCTAAATATTCACAGCATGTAAAATGTATGGTTTTGTTACGTAATAAATTAAAAGACTGCAATACACTATACCATAGGTGGCGCTTTCTCCCCATTCCGCATACAGATTTACCTTACTTACCGTGGATAAAAAGTTTCTACAATTAACTACATTTGCGGAGTTGATATTTTTTTATGTTTATAAACGAAACGAACAAGTTCATAAATATTCTCCATTTCTAGCCACATAATATTAGACAGTCACTGCCTTAGCTGTCTGATAATTTCTTTCAAACATATCCTTAAAACCCCACTCCAAATGAATTGACAAAACGTGGTTTACATATAAAGTTAACAATCTATTGTGTCCTACTAAGATATAATATATATAGTATCGATGAACAAAGCTGAGCGCTTCTAATTATCTTATAGGACAATCCTATAACCTAAGCCTTCGAGAGATTATGTCGTGACATTTGTACGTTTATTATCGGATGTTTAATGCTTGTATCACCTATATCATTATAGATATCCGATAATTAACATTAAAAATCACAATAGGAACATTTGAAGGCTTATATTGTAGGATTAGCTTTTGGGATACCTATAATATTCTGTAAGTCATAATTTTCAGGAAGATAACTGCTTGAATATATAATTTCGTTTGTATGCGTGGTGTGTGTATGTGTGGTGTTTGTATGTGTATGTGTGTATGTGTGGTGTTTGTATGTGTATGTGTGTATGTGTGGTGTTTGTATGTGTGGTATTTCATCTATTAGTTAAGTAATTCTAGTAATTACGCCCAGATGTTTGTGTAATTCATAATAAGCATTTTGTTACTTTAGGTTGAAAAGGTTGATATATTCAAAGAGGATGACTTAAGTAGTCACTTTAGCGGATGTGACGTAGTGATGTCCTGTCTTGGCACGGGTCCAAGCCTCTTCGGCATGAGGACTATAACGTTCTACTTGGATTCCATCAAACCTATCACTGGTGCTATGCGCAAATGCGGAAATACTCGACTGGTAACCATGACGTCAGTGGACACTATACGTAAGTTAACTCGTTATAAAATCGAGGCTCAATACCGGTAACATGTACAAGATCACGTTTCGATCACGTCCAGGGCGAGAATCTAGGAGTTGATCCATCTTAGGAAAAAAAAAATTTAAGTGAAAGGCATGGAGCCTAGGTGTTTTGCCCTATACCCGTAGCTAATGCTATGTCAGCGTTTTAAAAAAATCTTTACTAAACATATACACAAGTACACAAAACGTCAACATCAAAATAATTGTAAGATCGATCACTCGCTGTAGCCAGCCACATTTTCTTCAATTCTTGAAGCACTAATCAGTTTGTGTTTTATTTTTTCTTGATACTTTCACCCGAGAATGTCATTGTGGCATGCCTAGCTTCGCTCTCCAGACACTGCATGACTATTGTTATTGTGACAACGTTTGTTTGAAAATGAGAAACCCAAACAATCGTGTATTAAGTTTCTAACATACACACAAGGAAACGCAGAGCTTCGTGGATTAAAATATTTTAAAAAAAATAAATGCAAATCTGTCAGTATGTCAGAAAATAACCTTGGATAGGTTTTGTTTCCATTTCAGCACAAAACAGGGGGCCTTGGATTTTTGAGTGGATTATACGGCCCGTTTTCTTATCAAGTGTCCTACAGAGCATGTCAGTGATGGAGGATTATCTTCAAAAGCAATGCTCGGATTTAGATTACACTGTTGTCAAACCTCCTGGGTTAACAGACGAGCCAAGTAGTGGTAAGGTTTTGTTCTGTAGTAAAACAACAGGCCTGCATGGTATTCAATTTTCATAGATAGATACGATACAAACTTCAGCTTCTAACACTCACCTCTAAACAATGCCAATTATCACCTGGATTTGAAGTAAATGTCACTTCTTTCTTACCTCAACATTTCTTGCCCTTTAACCCAACACGCCTTTCCATTAGAAAGTGACAAGGGGAAAGTACTTATTTGTTGAACATCAAAATACCGATTTTTTTCTTCAACAACCGTTTATCAATCCTTCTGCAACCATTACGTTTTAGGCGGATGGTAACCCGGACAACCATTTCGATCATCAGTTATCGTTCTGATAATACTTCTTATGCTAACAGTGAGACTTGTCCTACCCACTCTCGACATCTCAGTTTCTCTTGATCATATTTGCTCACAAAACACATAAATTAATAAATATAAATTAATGACCATTGGTAAAGACATCGGTATTATTTCATTGTCACCTGAATTTGACTTATCTCACTTTAATTGTAAAATGTTGCTGTTTGACAGGGAAGGAAGTAAAGGCAGGGGAGGGACAGTACGTAGAAGGCACGATTCGGCGGATCCCACGCAGGGACGTGGCAAAATTCATGTTGGACTGCATTCCTCAAACACAGTCGGTGCGTAAACTCATGTCGATCGGACTTCCGGTGTGATTATATTATACTTGCATTATCTCGTCAACAACAACAGTAATGAGCATAGTAACAGTAGTTGGAACAAAGATCGCAGGATCAGCCGAAACCACATCATAAACATCAACAGCAGCAACAAAACTAGAACAACAACAGCCAAGAACTACACCAAAACAACAGCAGCAGACCGACAACAGCAGCAGACCGATAACAGCAGACCAACATCAGCCAAGAACTACACCAAAACAACAGCAGACCGACAACAGCAGACAGACAGCAGCAGACCGACAACAGCAGACAGACAGCAGCAGACCGACAACAGCAGACCGCAGCAGACCGACAATAGACCAACAATAGCCAAGAACTACACCAAAACAACAACAGCAGACCGACAATAGCAGACAGACAGCAGCAGACAGACAACAGCAGACCGCAGTAGACCGACAATAGCAGACCGACAACAGCAGACAGACAACAGCCAAGAACTACACCAAAACAACAACAGCAGACCGACAACAGCAGACAGACAACAGCCAAGAACTACACCAAAACAACAACAGCAGACCGACAACAGCAGACAGACAACAGCCAAGAACTACACCAAAACAACAACAGCAGACCGACAACAGCAAACAGACAGCAGCAGACAGACAACAGCAGACCGCAGTAGACCGACAATAGCAGACCGACAACAGCAGACAGACAACAGCCAAGAACTACACCAAAACAACAACAGCAGACCGACAACAGCAAACAGACAGCAGCAGACCGACAACAGCAGACCGCAGCAGACCGACAATAGCAGACCGACAACAGCAGACAGACAACAGCCAAGAACTACACCAAAACAACAACAGCAGACCGACAACAGCAGACAGAAAACACCAGACCAACAGCAGCAGACCAACAACAACAGACCAACAACAGCCAAGAACTACACCAAAACAACAACAGCAGACCGACAACAGCAGACAGACAGCAGCAGACCGACAACAGCAGACAGACAGCAGCAGACCGACAACAGCAGACAGACAGCAGCAGACAGAAAACACCAGACCAACAGCAGCAGACCAACAACAGCAGACAGACAGCAGCAGACCGACAACAGCAGACCGCAGCAGACCGACAATAGCAGACCGACAACAGCAGACCAACAACAGCCAAGAACTACACCAAAACAACAACAGCAGACCGACAACAGCAGACAGAAAACACCAGACCAACAGCAGCAGACCGCAGCAGACCGCAGCAGACCGACAATAGCAGACCGACAACAGCAGACCAACAACAGCCAAGAACTACACCAAAACAACAACAACAAAAACAGATCAATGTGATCTGTGTAGTGAACAAATTTGAATAAACCGTTGCCTGCCTCGATTATCAGAATGTTCACAGATATACTGTGCCATGACAAACATTGTATATAATGTCGAGGACGAATGTATCACCGCCAGGACACAATGTCCCTTAGACTTACAATTTATTTGCAGGCAAGACCAGAGGACGAATATCGTATCTATATCATGGACGTAGGTTCTAGTTGTACATTATAACAATTCCATTGCGCAGTAAACATGTTACATGATGCACAGTTATACATGCATATTTCAGGAATCTCATTAGTCCAGTCATGTCTTGGAGAACAGAAGAGCGTGTTAGTGCTAGCGTGGTAGATTTATCTCGGGTAGACGTAGTGGCGGTATTAGTATTTTGTTTTCCAAAATATTTAGAACTGACGGGGACTCAATCAATTTATACTCTGTATATCATTGTAATGTGTACACGTCATAATACTATAAACGTATGTGCTTCAAGTGTAAAGGGCCAGCTGCTGAAAATAGTATTTATTTCCAACACTTGTTTGATGTATGTTTAAAGAGTTTTATAGTCATTACTTAAACATCCACATATATATCATTTTCTACGCCAATACACGTCCGAGATAAATTGACTTACAAGTGGCGGGAACTCGTCATTTTGAATCATGTTTAAGAACTTGCATTAATGTCCTGCATTGAAAATAAGGACAGAGGCTTGACTTAATAAGTATATATATAACCTCATCGTATATCTTACAATTCATTGCAGTTTCGTTTTTCATCTTAAGCTTTCCTCATTTCTGTGAGTTCAATGTTAACAAGCACGACTATGTAAAATCGCATAAATATTGGCCATAGCTTTAATATATAAACAAAAATTTAACTTGTTCATGCTGTCGAAACTTAAACATACAAAGCATAAATTATGTCATTCCTCATTGTGCTTGTGCCCCGCGATAAGTCGATTTACCGGGTAGGGTTACAGCCGGGTAATTTGATAATAAGGTTATACTTTTGAAATTAATTGTTTAGCAAGGGTGTTATGCAACACATCAGAGTAATAAATATCAGCTTTATTCATCATTAGAGATTTTTTCATATTTTTTTTCTCAAATACACAAGTTGAAAAAAAACATTGGTGACAATACGACAACCCCCATACATCATCATTAGACAGGGTGTGTGTAGACGTAAATGTCGACAGTTTCTCCTCAGATTTGATAACTAATATGGATCTCGTTACTAGATATGTTACAGAAACAGCAATGTGTCCTAGCGTTCATGTTTTTGTATTCATTATCACTTCATAGTTTATTTTAATTATGATGTTTACAGAAAATATTCTTAATATAGTAACAACTTCCGGGTAATATATATCCCAAATGATATTGATTTATAGAAACAACAAACGTACCACGGCAGTATATGTGATAAATATAGCATCGTAATTCATTACTCATGGTATTCACTGAAGTCGCTTCTTCCTGATGTAAATTTCTGTCTATGGACCGTATGTCCGTTAAAGGTGTCTGTGAAAGAAACAGCAGACGTGGTTCTATTTATTTGATAATCAATATTTCGTTATGGGTTATTTCCCCTGCTATGTCGTAAGAGTTCCGTCCTGGATCTTCACATTTGGGTCCTGATAACGCCGAGAAATCCTAGAGTGACGAAACAGCTGTAGGGTACAGTTTTATTTATAAATCGGCATAATTTTGCACGGTTTCTACGAATGATGAAAAATGTTAACTATTCGTTTTTTTTTTTATTTCTCGATGTCTTCTGTTTAGGAGACATTTACTAAGCCGACTTTACGACCTTCTGTATCCCTCTCCATGCTATCGTAAGATACGACTGTGTCCTCCACTACAGTTGAACATGTTCTGTAGAAGTGAAACGTTCCAATGACCAGTATTTATCTGCCACACTCCTTTCAGCACTGGGGATCTTTGAGTTTTCCTTTCTTCTTGTATATGTTATGTTTTGGCTCTAACCTTAGGCAACCCTCCTCACACGACACTGACTGTTTCTAGAACGTTTACCCTGAACCAGCCTTTTGAACATTTACGTCCGATACAATGAACGCCGATTCTTTTGTTCAAAGATAGAGAGGCAGACCTCATCTACAAGTAGATAGTAGATGGTCATGATCTTACGGCATTGAACATAATTGCAAGAGCAAGGTAAAGTTATGATGAGTTTCAAGAGGGAGGGAGAGAGCAGAAAGTAAGAGCTGACAAAGAACGATCAAGATCTTCAATGTTGCCATGGGGGCACCAGATCTTTTTTGTCCCCTTAAGTGAATCAGGGTCACTCGTATGAACAAATTGGTAGCTCTTTTCTAAAGCATGCTACATGCCCAAATCAAGACCCTGGTTTATTTGGTCGTTGTGAAGAAGCTGTTAAAAGATATTCTGCCCCTTTGACCTTGAACTTTGTAGCCCTTCATTCCAACATAGTACAGGCGAACTATCAACAACCTTGACCTTATGGTTATTAATAAATAGTCTTTTGAATGGAAAGTTTATGTATGGTGCACGAAGACATACAAAATACGATGGCTATAGGTCATCTTGACCCTTCGGGTCAGTTGACACAAAAAGAGAGAACTTAAAATGAATAATTGTGATAAAAAAAACTGTAGTCAAAACATCAAAGATATCCCTGAGCATTTAAATTGTTAAATATCAAAAGTGAAACAGAAATTATTTCTAATAACATCCATATTCTACATGAAAAGGATTAATTATATACATTTTTGGAGAAAATAATATGTAAACACAACGAAGCTTATTTTATCCACTTTCTTAGTGGAGTTTTACAAAGACAAAGGCAGCCTCCGATCCCTTCTATCATTATGTCACTGACAAACTACAAGCTCATAATAACTCGTCATACATGTTAGATATATTCGGGGAAGTTCCGATTTTGATGTGGAGCTTGAACTGTTTTCATTTCAAATCTCCCTTCGTTTTCCAAGTCAAAGTTACACAGTCACAATCAGTTAGAAAAATACGTGTTATGTTTCCATGACGACCATGCTGACCATTTCATCTGACAAATGGAGCATGTTTGTAATGAGGTATCAAATATGTAACATTGTAGTGAAATCAGGGGACCTTTCGGCTGTAGCAACATATTCTCTATTCTATGGTATGTAGTAATGTGACGAGATTGCAAAAAAATATTATAGCAAAAGCAGGTCAACTCGGCCACTTTCCATACATATATTAAATGTTAAAGGTATACCTCTTGAAAGTCAGTTCGGATTAGAGAGTTCCTGTCCCAACATCGACTCCAATCTTAGAATTGAATCAGGAATAAAAAAAAAACAGTGTAAAAATTTCTTTTATTTTTATCAACATTTATGTATCATTTATACAAATGTATGTTTAAAATTATACATCATTCGTTTTTACAAAATATGTTTTTCTTCATTATCACAGAATGCTTAATCAACCTGTAAAAACACGCTGAATTCACAGATAAGTTTAAGAATATGAGATAAAGGATTTTTGTTATCAAACCATGGAAAATACATATGAAAGTAATCATTATAAAACATTATAACGAATCAATGTTTACTCCTAAAACAGCGATAGAAATACAGTAAAACCTCGCTTGAAGATCATCTAAATAAAGTAAGACTTGCTATTTCAGTCCCAGATTTTTTTATATGTATATATAAATGTGTAATGTAAGATTCACCATTAAGACCACATCACAGTTAAGACCACTTTTAAAAAGTACCACAGACTAGTTTTGTATGAAAGTTCATAACACTAATCAGACCACCGACCAGTCAAAAAAAAACAAAAAAACAACAACTCACGAAAGTGTGAAAATAGGGAGAGAGGTGACAGAAAAGGAAATATGTCTACTTGGTCATGCTCGCTATTCCGACAGTCCCACTACATAGACCACTTCAGTCCAATCCCCAAGGTTGTCTTAACAGAGACGTCTCACTGTATCTACAGAAGGTTCATATAGTACAGTATTAGGACTAGAATGACCTGCTGTGATCTAGTTTGTTCTAATTGCTGCACTGTGTGATATGATATGACAATACTAATACTTAATACTTTAGTACACCACGAACTGGCTGGATGTTTTAACATTGACAAACAGGAACATGTAAATATATCTGGGTTAAATATAACATACTATCAAATGATAAAAAGAGTTAAACTGTTAGATAATATGTGTACATAAATTAAAACAGAAAGTGTATGGAGTTAGTTCCTGGAAAACAAAATTAAATCTATTATATAGACCGGTGATATAACTGATGTAAATTATAACAGAAAGTGTATGGAGTTAGTTCATAGAAAACAAAATTAAATCTATTATATAGACCGGTGATATAACTGATGTAAATTATAACAGAAAATGTATGGAGTTAGTTCATGGAAAACATAATTAAATCTACTATACAGAATATACAAAATTAAATGTATGGAGTTAGTTGATGGAAAACATAATTAAATCTACTATACAGACCGGTGATATAACTGATGTAAATTATAACAGAAAATGTATGGAGTTAGTTGATGGAAAACATAATTAAATCGGTGATATAACTGATGTAAATTATAACAGAAAATGTATGGAGTTAGTTGATGGAAAACATAATTAAAACAAAATTAAATCTACTATACAGACCGGTGATATAACTGATATCAATGATAGAGAAGGAGATGTGTCGTGTTTGGCGGAATTTTATCTAGGTTCCAAAGGATAAAATCAATATGGCCGTTTTTCGATGTTTACATTATTGTCCCGATATATCTCACATGAATAATCTGAACACATACATGTATATTAGTTTCCTTGTGCTCAGGTAATTATGTGTATGTCAATACAATAAGCATGAGATATACACCTTACATACACTCATGTTCATTATCCCCTCACGACAGATATTCGGGATAAATCGGGAGTTGTTAGGATGTCTCAGTATGTAAAGTAACACTCGTGCTTCTCGGTAAACTTTAAAAGTTTTTAGCAACTTCACACACTTATAACGGACACTTATATCTTGGAGTTTGACGTTCTAGGATTTAAGGTCACCGTTGCCATGTTTAGCAACATCTTTCCTTGGGGTATTTTGATCACTCGCACGTACTTGAACATTATCTGCCATCTTTATTGCACGTCTCTCATTGTTGAATCTTGAAGGTTTCATGTCTACGCTTAAGTGACTAAAGCTGCTTAAAATCATTAAGCGGTATGTATAAACGTGAACACAACATCATGTCAATGTCCTGAAATTGCATTCAATCTATTTTAGTAACATCATGCTTTTACCTCAAAAATAGAACAAGCCTTTAAAACAAGACTAACGACGATGTGCTTGTTGTTGAACCTTTCTACATACACGACAGGTCTGTGAACCATTCCTCATCTGTACCTTACGGAATTCGTCGTGAGGAAACTTCCTGTGACATTTTGAACACTTCGTGGATGCGAACGGGAAATTCAATGTACCTTCCTCAGGGATTATGTCTAACGGAAGGAATGCATTAAATTCAAATCTGTCAAACGATCTATCTTCCATACCTCGCCATATATCTGCATACCGCTCTGAGGCTACAGATAGCCGTGGAAGAACCTCATCTGACTCCTTCAATTTCTTGTACATCGGAAACATGGCGATGACGTCAACAACACAGTACTGGATGAGGGTTTCCGAGAGAGGTCTCACCTTCCATATCATGTAGTTGTCCTTAAGTTGTATATTTCCTTTCTCCTTCTGTTCCAGCAGTTTGTGGTCGTAGACGTAATTCTCGAGACAGCGTTTGTAGCCATTTATATTCTCTATCTCTCCATCTTTTTCACTTCTTTTAGTCGACACATATGTTCGTCTTGGTCTTCGATTTCTGCGATAAATTATGTCAAGCAGCTGCAGATCGAGAACACCAGTGATTCGTACCCGGAATTGATGCCACAAGCTGTCAGAATCCTGTCTACAATCAAACATCAGCTTCTCAATCGATTTATTCTCCAAAATTTCACGCAGGCCGTTGTCGAATACAGACTGTTTAAGTTTGAAAATATCGAAGATAAAAACGTTTGTGTTTGTAGCAATTGTTAAAACAGTCAGTTCACCTTTCCTGCTTAAGTTGACTCCTTCACAATCGACGGCGATAAGTTTTTGACTTTTTATCTCGGAGAATGCTGGGATGAGACCGCTTTTATCATCAATTAGGGTATGGTTGTTAGGAGTTGCCATGCTGATCCTGTAATGGTAAAATAATTTATACTTTTATTCTGTCGATTCTGTGCGAAGTGCTTCTGCTGGAAAACAACACAGAAAATAGAAACATATTAGCAGAATTTTAATTCAGACTCCGATGCAGCGAAACTAGGGTAAATATTGATAAACGAGAAGTTTGCACGGAAACTCCTGAAAATGTACAAGGAAAATAAGACCAGGTGTTCTGGAAGGGTAAGCGGCATCTGCTTCATCGACGACACTCGCCATTTAAACCTGGGTCAAGTAATATGACGCTCACAAATTTAAGCAAGGTATACAACAAGGAGTGTCAAACACGTACAGCGTCTTACAGCATAGGGACTTTCTTTTTGTGTAATTCATATCAAAATGCACATGGGAATGTTTTTAATTTGCAGAACAAGTCAATGGGTTTGAATCCTCAATCGTTTATTTATTCATCAATAGCGTATTTATCACTTTGTTTTTATCAATGTCTGTTAATTCTCCTGAAGAGGTGAATGCTGAAAAGCCTTATTATTATAACATATTTAACTCACGAATAAAAGACGAATTAACACTCGTGGGTAAAATTAGCATCTATGTTTCCCTATGTAAATTCACTAAAGGAAATAATATGTCTCTTCTATCTCATTGCATGTCACCAGAAGCTACAAACTAATTATGTTCCGCTTTTCCATTCTGCAGTTCGGGAGGTAGCCTCTGCGATGTAAGATCATGCCTGTTAGTGACTTCTATCTACCAGATTTACCTTAGTCTGAATATATGTCCGATCTCACTTGTTAGTGACTGCCATCTACCAGAATTACCCTAGTCTGAACAAAGGTAAGATCTCGCTTGTTAGTGACAACCATCTACCAGAATTACCCTAGTGTGAAGATTATGCAAGATTATGCGTGTTATAGTGGATATAAACATTATTGATATGTGTGGACTACAACAGGCGTTCAGTTGACAAATCACAACACAGCAACACAAAAACGTATAACTAACAACGATATTTTACACATTGAATCGTGATTTCATTATTTGATAAATGTATGCCGATTAATATATAAAACCGTATTCTACAGCTGTATCGTCATTGCACTGAAATACACTAGCCCATTAGAAACAATGGATATCGAATATATTGACAAGGGACAAATATCTATCTGTATCCTTTATCTACCTATTACAGCTGTTTTATATGTTAAGTGTCAAACCAAAATATATTTGTTAATAATCTTACCTGGAACAAAAATCGTGAACTGTTTCCCTCACCTATTGGTCACGTACAACCCATAGAAAGCCGTTCAGACAGGAAATAACCGACTTCAGTGAACACATCGAGGAATGCATAACAAAGCTATATATATCTTATATAAAGCAATCATACGCTTTGTCTTTTTATAAACCTCTGTCATTTGTGATAAATACTACCCGGAAGTTGTTACTATATTTAGAATGTTTTCTGTAAACATAATGGCTAGAATATACCGCGAAGTGATATTGAATATAAAACCAGGTAATCCAGGACACCTTACTGTTTCTGAAACAAACCTAGAAACGAGTTCTATATTTGTTATCAAAATCTGAGTAAATGTTGACGTTGATAATGATCAGGTAGGGGTTGTCCTGTTCATTTGTCCCCATTGATTTATAAACAAGTTCAACAATTTTGAATTAAATAAATAAATTAGAAAAAACGTTTTAAGCAGGATTAAAGCTTGTGTTTATTAGTCTGGTATAAACATGGCACCTTACACAAACGAATAGTTTAAGCATTTCAATCTGATTATTACACTATCAAATCGCCACACAAACACTTACATAAAAAACTGATTTGTAATGTTTTTATTGCTTATTCAAACGAGTTAACATTACTTTTGTATAGAAAGTTTGCGTTGATATGCAGTAAAACATTTATCTTCAAAATAACTCGATTCTGGTTGTCACTGATGGAAACAAAACACTGTAAAAATTCTTGACATAATTTCAACCTCCAGGAATTATTACTGAAGTCACAACACAACAAAAGCTATTTGTATATGGCGTATTTTTATGAAGAAGAAACACAAATAAGACATGTTAATGATATTAGATGGGCTGGATGATATCACGGCACAAATGACCCTAGTATACAGTTTTAATTTGGAATTTTAATTCGGCGAATTTGCACAAATAACATCCTATATATGATATAATTCGGGATTTTTATTGTAAGTTGCCAACTTGTCCTACACCACGATCATTCGTTTTCCGTGCTGTGACCAGACGATGATATCCAGGAGGAGATTTGTGTGGACGATGTATGGGAAAATAGTTTCCTGTCCAGGTCCGCTCAAAGTCCTTGATTCAAATCTATTGGATAGCTATTGCCTTCCCTATAACGTACAACGTAAACAACTCACTTTTAACTAACTTCCTACATCTGTTTGTTCAACAGTGTCAAGCATGTTCCCTCAAGTCTTCATCATGTCTCCGTCTGTATTTTACTGAGTAAGAGTAACGCTACAGATACATACATTGTGGCTGAGGGTACCAGATTTGTTACACAGAAAATATTTTACATATTTTTAATTTAGACTGCAAACAAGTTTATTGACATTTCAATTCCGATATGATAAAGATGTTAGTTATCAGGTAGAGCCTTTAAAGTCCACACACAACACAGTGGCACAAGACAAAACATACTGATATACAATCTTATCATTAGGTAATTATAACAATACAATGACATACAAGGGAAGCAACTCCTATCTACTTGAATTTGATTCAAATTTTTTCCATCATCCCAATCTATAAAAGTTTGTTGCGATAAAAATTGGTCGAACACTGACCTCAGAAGGAGCAGAATGCGATTAGCGGATTATTTAGTAATTTAATCTTACTTTCGATATACACCCCAACAATAATTACACGTCCTTACTGTTACTGATAAAGTTTTAACAATATGGTATTTTCATAAGGTCGGTTGGGTTTGAAAGGTTAAAGATAGATACAATGTAAATCCTGTAGAGTTATTCTTTCTCTTTAGAAATAATCTTCCACTTCTTCGTCAAAATAGCAATACTCCTCTTCCCGCCCCCAGTTATCTTCTCTGTTTTGCTGAACATCTATCCTAAGTTTAATTTTTTTACACACCCGACATTTCTGGACCCCTTGTCGCAGCTGTATACCACTGAACTCATCTCTAGGAAACATCCGATCACACTTTGTACATTTCGTGGACGCGTGAGGGAAACTAAGTGTTCCCGACTCTGGGATGATGTCCAAAGGCAGTAAGGCGTTTGATTCGTATTCATTAAAACTTCGTTCCTCTTTTCTTCTCCACATGTCCGCATAACGTTTGGATGCAACTCGCAGACGTGGTAGGATATCGTTAGACTGTTTAAGCTTTTCATACAGCGGGAACAAACCGGAAACATCGACTTTACAATACTCGACCAGGGGTTCCGGAAGTGGGCGTCTTTTCCATATTTCTCTCCCACTATCAAACATTTGTTTGCCATTTTCTTTCTTTTCAACCAGATCTTTGTCATCAAGGTATAATTCGATGCACTTTCGATATCCGTAAATGTTTTCAACATCGTCGGTCTTCGCGCTTCGCCTGTAGGACTTGTACTGTTTCGGTTCTGAAGGAGAGTGAACTCTGCGGAACATCACTTCTAGAAGCTGAATGTCAAGAACACCTGTTATTTTAACTTTGAATTGATGCCATAGACTATCTGAATCTTGTCTACAGTCAAACATTAATTTCTCGATGGAGTCATCCTCCAGAAGCTCACGAAGCCCATTGTCGAACGCAGACTGTCCGAGTTTTAATATATCGAAGATGAAAACCTTAGCCTTTGTTGCTGTGACCAGCAGAGTGAGCTCCCCTTTCCTACTTAAATTGACACCTTCACAATCGACAGCAATCAGCTTCTGGCTTTTTATTTCGGATAACGCTATTGGAATATTGGCTTTTTCGTCAATTAAGGTATGCTGTGTTTTCGCTGTCATTTTGACCTAGTAACACAAATGAAACGTTTGTTAAATATTGTTAGTAGAGTCACCTCACCGTTACATTGATATTATGGTTCTAGTATACAACATTGATGCCGCGCACTTTGGACTAGCGTGATAATGCACCTTTTAAAATGCAACCTGTTGTCTATTTCATTCGAAAATATTTACACAGCGCTGATTTAAGTCTCTAAAACGGAAAATGACAAGAAATAGAGTAATCTTACCGCCAACCATTGAATGATCTTTTTTGGTTCTATGTAAGACTGATTTTGTTCTCTCTACTTTTTCCTTCTCTCCCCTTCCCTCTTAATCATTTGATTGATAAGACAGTAATTCTACAGATGAAAGTTAAGAAATATCAAACAAGAAATAACGACAATTATCTTCTACTGATAATATGAACAATGCATGTAATTAATCTGAGAAATATCCCTTCAGTATTTCTGAAGATATAGCGATAACAAACTTCATTTGTCAAAATCCAAGATGGCGACTCGTCGGCCATTTTGTTCCGCAGATTAGTCTCGAAATTGGATCTACATAACTAGGGAGAGGTAGAGCCTACATATGAAATTTTAGAAAAATCACTTCAGTACTTCTCATGAATTATCGATGATACGGATTGTTCACGGACGGAACATGGACCACGGACGAAGGTCAATTTGAACTGTCCGTCATCTGATGGCGTTGGGCTAAGAAATGGAAAAATAAAGCTCAAAAACAGCCTTACACTGGAATGTAAGTTTAGAGATTTAGCATCCGGTCTAATTATATACAAACTTTATTATTTTACAACGATTGCGAAACATGATATCAGCCTATACTAATCACACTTGTATTCCCGAACGGAAGCGCGCGGGAAGTGTTAATGTAAGGAGAAACTGGAGTACCCAGGGAAAACCCACGTACTCGGGCAGGTCACCCCAAACCTTTTCACATCCGTTCCGGCAATCGAACCCCGGACGGCTAGGTGAAAGGCGAGTGAATACCACTGTGCCACCCTACATCCTTAATTCTGTCTAATTCATCGCCTACGCCCGATCCGCCATGTAAATCGAGGAAACCCCAGTAATACATGTACAAAAACGAGCTTAGAATACAACCGACTTCATATTGCCTCTGGAAAGTATTTCCCGGTGACATAATGATGACAGTGTCTTTCAGATTATTGAATATTATTTCTGTTGTTTGCGTTTATAAGCCAGCAGTACCACAAACATTAAAACCTACCTGTGACGACGGGATGGACCAGCGGAAAAACCCTCAAGTACTTTAACTTGGTTGATTTTTAGAAAACAAATCGAAAGTGAAAGTAGTCCCTGTCATATTACACCGTGATAATGATATGAACCACTTCAGTCGATATTAACATATGTCCGTGTATATTTCACCACTAGAAGTATCATTCAGCTCCTTTGTGTTATCTCATCGTGTCCGTACTTCAACGCATGGATTATAATTACATGTACAACTCATCCATCATCATCGGCTGTCTCTGAAGGGGCATATTTATATTTAGGGACATACTGACTCTTTTGACAGTATCTACAGCGATACCGAGGGTTTTTGACCAGTAATTAGTACAAAGTCTACCTTGACCACTCTTTAGATGAGGTGGAGGTGGCTAATTTTGTTCAACAGTCAATTATTGCCTCTGAGACAACCCATAACGCTGATATCAGCTGCATTGTCCTAAGAAATCTCATACCATGATTCATTAGGGTAGAACTGGTCCTCTTTTTTGTGAGGGGAAGGGTGGGGGTGGACTTTGGGTTTAATTTTTTTGTTAATTCATGCAAATTATTTGCATGTTACTTGTACCTTTGGCACACGCGCTAGTGTTTGTACAGCATATGTGTTCATTAGTGATTAGTTGTAGATAATGTTTTGATATATAACTACCATCTTTGTTAAATAAAGGTTGCTGCTTCGCTTTATTATATTTGAAATGAAAGTTACTTTGCTAACTCCAAAAGTGAATGTTGATATGACCAATAGTTCGTAAATGAATGTTGCTTTGCTAACCCCAAAAGTGAATATTGATATGACCAATAGTTCGTAAATGAATGTTGCTTTGCTAACCCCAAAAGTGAATATTGATATGACCAATAGTTCGTAAATGAATGTTGCTTTGCTAACCCCAAAAGTGAATATTGATATGACCAATAGTTCGTAAATGAATGTTGCTTTGCTAACCCCAAAAGTGAATATTGATATGACCAATAGTTCGTAAATGAATGTTGCTTTGCTAACCCCAAAAGTGAATATTGATATGACCAATAGTTCGTAAATGAATGTTGCTTTGCTAACCCCAAAAGTGAATATTGATATGACCAATAGTTCGTAAATGAATGTTGCTTTGCTAACCCCAAAAGTGAATATTGATATGACCAATAGTTCGTAAATGAATGTTGCTTTGCTAACCCCAAAAGTGAATATTGATATGACCAATAGTTCGTAAATGAATGTTGCTTTGCTAACCCCAAAAGTGAATATTGATATGACCAATAGTTCGTAAATGAATGTTGCTTTGCTAACCCCAAAAGTGAATATTGATATGACCAATAGTTCGTAAATGAATGTTGCTTTGCTAACCCCAAAAGTGAATATTGATATGACCAATAGTTCGTAAATGAATGTTGCTTTGCTAACCCCAAAAGTGAATATTAATATGCCCAACAATCCCTAAATGAATGATGCCTGAAACTTTGAGTGACCCAATTACCCCTTTCAAATGTGTAAGAATGAGTATGGACCCGCACAAAGGAACTTTATGAAGCTTGATCTGGGGTAGGAGAGCTTTGTATACTTTTTATCATTATGTGGTTTTAAGGGGGAGTAATTACTTCGTTTGTTGGTGAAGTAACATCGTGGCTGACTAGCTGCGTATCTTTGGAGAGCGGAAATTTCGTCATCAATCGAGAAACCGCTTCCGGTGCTAATTCTGGACCCCTTAGCTCACCTATAGCTTGCACTCCCTTTCTCACTTTCAAACGTAAACTGGTTTGTCTCTCGGCTTCCTTAAGACCAGGTGATGTTTCCTCATTTATGCTCTGTTCCTCAGCAAGGAAATCAACACATGGTTCTGCAATGTTTATCTCGTGATATTTACTTCAGTAGCCTACAACGAAAATAATAATCATCTAGTGCCAAAGACTGGTATATGTTAATAGTTGTTACTGGTCGGTAATTCAGTCTGTTTCTCTGGCTTTTGTACCTGCCTGGCATGTTTTACAAATTTTTTTGTGTCTGTTCATTTCGATCCACCAAACTTTGGTGCGGAATCGGCTTTTCCTGCACACTATACTTGCGTGTTCCTAATGCTTAGTTCGATTGCCTTATCACACGCCCTTAAGGAAGGAATATTCTTGTTCAGAACTAACAGTCCTACAAGATACAACTCACCCCGAATATGTAAATAATGTTCTGCCATTGTTTGCAGCGAATGCAATTTCTCTATTCAGTTACGACCTTGTCGACTGTAAAAACCTTCCTGACTTCTGTAGTAGTCAATACTCGGGGGGGTTTGTTGTAAACCTGATATAATCCTCCAGATCTCCTGTTGTAGATTTGTAGTTATCCTGGCCATTGAGGTTGTCTCCCTTGTCACTACAATTTAACAGTCAAGATTATGTACAGAGAGCCCATTCGTGGACGTAGCTGAGTAAAAGTCATCACAGCGGTTTGAGATCGGTATTTACATATGCAGACGCTGCCAAGCCCACTTTATCCATACAGCTTCTCATTTAGTCTGACAGTATGTACGATCTAAGGGTCCCATGACCTAAAAGACTTGCATCATTTATCACAATGGTCTTGGCATTCTTAACAATTACAGGAATTCGTGGAGAGCTTTACATTGGAATTATAATAATTGAAATTTTATAAGTGTTATATGTGGACATAGAGGTCACAGGCCTGCTTCCATTAAATGCAGTATATTAACATTATATCATAAGCTGTATATTAATCAATTTTGGAACGTTTTCGTAATGACAACTACAACTTAAACACTGAACATTTTAAAATCAATACAGTTCATTTTTCATTTTTTTTTTTCAAACGTATAAATTCTTAATGAAAGCATGCTGAAATATGCTTAAAACATTCCCAATCCATATGTGTTTCCTAATGAAAATTCAATGTCCTTATTGTTATGAAATTTCTTCTGCGCTGATCTACAAGTACGTAGGGCTTTGTGCAAAACAAATGCATTTTGAAAATGGTAACGGTTATTTTGTTTGATAAGTACATGTACTATATATATATGGTACATTGACCCTGCAGATCAGTTCCTCTGTGACACTATACAGATAAGTATGCATCCACGTGCTCTTTGAGATGAAATTTTAATAAGTTTCTAAGTCAGCTAGAAATGTTAAATACTAGTTTCTGCTTGTATTGTTTGTGCCGAACCCCGGTTTTGGAAGCCCGTTTACTTAATAAACATCCCGTCCTATGAATAGATCTCGACTCTTTCGGAGTGAGGTAATATCAAACCGGTGATATTAAATTTGAAATGTGTACAGTATTAACACTTAATACAACAGAAACAAAGAAACGGTCTCTCTATATCTCAGGCTAACTAGGTGTAGCACAAATCAATCTACTGGATCCACGAATGTCTATCAGCCGTTGTCATCATATCTATCTATCTATCTATCTGACCTTGGATTTATTAGAAGAAGTTACAGACACAGTTGTTAAATTATTTAGGTATACATGTAGCATTACCTTTTGTTTCGTTCATCTAATAGAGACACGTTACTGATCATGTGATTTGTAATTCCTAGCTACATACAATCACACCTAACGGCAATTCAATCGCTTGTATATGTTTATGTGTGCATTTAAACTAGGTTATAGTAAATTTATCTAAAACACAATATACTAGATTATACTAACTTTATCTAAAACACAATATACTAGGTTATACTAACTTTATCTAAAACACAATATACTAGGTTATACTAACTTTATCTAAAACACAATAT